ATCACAAGGGGAATCATGTCCCTCTTGTCCCGGCTATGCTCCCCCCTTATCCCACCGTGCTTCTGTACTCCGGCACACTGAAAAGTCCTTGGAGTTTCACGTCCAACCACAAACATCAACTTGCTATCAGCATTCTTCTCAGAGCGAGCCTCTGAGTAAAACCAAAACACGGAGCTCTTCTAGCTGCTAAAAAGAAGAGCTAACTGTCCCAGCTAAAACCAGGACACAGTGTTATGGCAAAGAGTACTTTTTTTTTTAAAAAAAAAAAAAGGTAGCAAAAATAAACGTTTTCCAGAATAGAGATCTAGGTGTTTCTTCTTCCCCCTCCCCCCGCCCCCAATTGCCCTATATACTCATTAGCAAAACAAGAAACTGTATACCTACTGTCTTTAAAGTGTAAAAATGGTCATTTACTAAATACAGAAACATATATCTTCACGTAAAAGGGGGCCAGCTTTCTTTAAAGTATTAATATAAGGAGTAAACCTTCTGTTAAAGAAAATGCTGTTAAAAAATTGCTTTTGGTGGGAATTTATGCCACTGAAGGTATTGTGTATAGCTTTGTATAGCTATTGAATAGTCTTGTATTTAAAACCAAGGTCTTGACTAAGCTGACCTTGCAAATATAGATGATAAATTTTTAAAGGGAGTCTTTCTACTTGTGAACTAGATGTAAAGAATAGACGAGTATCAGAAAAAGAGAGATCTTGGCTGGATTGTTCTTTCATTTCTTTAGCGCTCAGTTACCATGGTGCTTTAGCAGGATAGTGTAGCTGGAAGGGAAATGGTGCTGGTGTTGTGATGCTACTGTTAAGGTTTTTCATGAGTTTCCAATACAAACAATTTACATTTCTTTTTGTGATAGCTCTCTAGGATTTTCTTTAAATTCCTAGGAGAGATGCTTCCATTTTAGAAGACCAGAAATATTTAAGAAGGCTTTATAGGCGCTTGTGTTTTGTCCATAGCTATTGCAGGAGCTACAGAGCTTTCTTTCAAGGCCAGCACTTTGCTAACATACCAGACTGGCAGCTTGTCAGTTCAAGCCAGTAATTTAAATCTTTGGTGCTAGTCAAAGCTGTCAACTTAATAACAGCTTACTGCATAAACAAGCTTGGGGGACTTATTCTAGGTCATTAGTATGGGAAGTTTCACGTACTGAATTGATGTTTATCACTGCAGATTATTTGAAAAGCTGGGCTTATTTGAAGGAAAAGTAATAGTTTGCTTAAATAACTCTGCTTTATGTGCGCAGTCTTGATCTCTGGAATGGTTAGTATAAATCACTTCAGAAACAGAGCAATATTAAACAGATGAGTTTTGATTTATGAGGAAGTGGAGGATCATCTGATTTTAATTTTTTTTTTAGAGCCAAACAGGGCAGAGGAAGCTGGTCGGTGTGGTAGGACATCTCAGTATGCTGTAACGGGAAAGATCTGCTTTGCAATGCCTTCTGTCACCACAGAGGTCGATAAAGAAGTAGTGTAGGACTGGGACTAATGAAAGAGTAATGGCACATATACAGGGATTTGGCTAGTACGACCCAGTATGCAGGGGACACGTATACATTACAGTCTTCTAAATACTTAGTAATACTACACAGGAAATAATCAATGCTTAATGTTTTTACGCCAGGTTTTCCCCAGAGCCATCAAAATGGTTCATCAGCAGTAGTGTAAAAGCTTCTCACTGGTGTATGTAGTATGTATGTGGGAATTACTTCTTTCATTTCAAAACAGTGTTAACCCTTAGGGCGATGAGTAAAACACAGTTTACCTTGTTTGAAGCAAAAATCGAAGAGCAAGCAGTTAAAGGCAGTAGTCATAGTGTAATCATTAGCTAAACTCCACCTGTATTTGAAGAATGTGCTATGAGGCTCTAACTCACTGCAACTCAGGAGCTGGGTTTTGTCTCATTCTCTGATTGCAATCAGTCACAACCCCTGCACCATCAGGAAATGTAGCAAGACACCAGTTCCCTAGTTTAATGCAGTGATGTTTCGAGTCTACCTAGTCCTTATGGAACCTTAATGGTTTCTGGTGACCACTTGTTAAGGGCTGACTGGCATGGCCTCCCTAATTTGTGAAGCACAGGATCATGTCAAAAGGCTTTAGTAGGAAATTTTGCCTGTATATTTAGAAATATTACGATGTTTTTCAAAGTTGAACAATTTGACTAGCACTCTTACAAGCTTCCTTAAACAGTAAAAAAAAAGTACTGTGCTGTTTGGAAGCGTTTAATTGTTGAAAACAGGAGCATCTACTATATAATGAACTGCAGCTATGATAATAAAATTAATTAATATTTTGTAGTTACCAATTTTACTTTAGATTACAGTCAGGACTAATTGCATTCATTTTGCTGAGGATCAGTATTTCGAAAGGAAATTGTTCTTCCTTTTTTCTCATTTAAAATTTGCTTTATGTATCTTTTAAATTTTTTAATAAATAAAATATGCCCAGAGAAATGATGTGTTCTAGTTAGCCATATATAGCTACACTAAAGATCTGAAAGTTCCCTCGTTAAATGTCTTAAATATTTAATTTCTTGTCTGTATGAGCGATTTTTAAGTTTCTGTTACAGGAAGAACATGTTACATGTTACTCATATTTTCTCTTATTATTTTGATTTTTGAAATATTAAGTAAAACAAAGAGATTCCTTTTACACCTGAAGACATGGGATGGTGCGAAATGTACAACTGCTTAATCTGCTTTCAGAAATCAGTCTGGAGAATATAAAAAGTAGATAAGTGTCAGAAACATTGAAGAAAACGTTATTTAAGCCTTTTATGTTCTCGTCAATGCAAATGAAGTCATGTAGATTCTTTTACATAATGTGCCCCTTTAATGGTCCTGCTGGAAATTGACTTCTTGGCAGCTGTACAGTGCAGAATAAGATGGATAAGGTTCTGTTCCGATCTCAGAATACTCTAAGTGTGAGCATGTCAGAGTTCTACTAAGACAAATTCAATCTTTTTTTCTTTTCGGTTTTATCCATTTGATGTTAGTTAAACCAACTGTTAAATTAATGAGAGCACATTGGAAAAAAACATAACTTTGAAACATTGCTTGTTAGTACTTTTTGGAGTGGAATTTTCTTTCTCCTCTGGATCCTGACCCTGCTGAGGAGATAGAATGGTGTGGCGCTGAGAGTGATAAGTCCATGGTGAGAAACTGCATTTAACTCCTTGATTTCTTCATGAAGGCCTTGCTGGGTCTCCACGTCAGATCACGTGGCATTCCTCCAGAACCTTAATCCCATGGGTTACCTAGATACTGGAAAAGCATGTATACTTGTAGCCATGGGATCAGTCGATGTCTGTTTCGTTCTGTTTTAGCAAAGCATGTAAGTGTGCTAAATTTTTCATCCTGGTTAAGCAAAGCCTTGAAATTTATGTGTTAGATACTCATGAATTCACTGTGGTTCTGTGGTTACAGGTGTTCTGAAGTGTTTTACTGAAATGGCACTGCAGTCCCTAATGCAAATCCCCTGTGTTTCCAGTTCCCAGTATGAGTTGACAGCTGGTTACAAGTCAATTATTGTTTGCTATGATTTCTCTTGCGCTCTGGAAGATGCAGAAGTGCTGGAATGTTTGCAAAAGTAACAAGCTAGAACAGTGCACACCTCCTTATGTGGCATGACAAAATGACTGAATGGCTTGTTTTTTCGTCTTAAAGCTTTGCAGATTTGTAGCTGCCATGACTTTAATGATGAGTAAGAGCTACCCACACAAGGAAAGAGACCTAATGGTGGCTGAAGACAAGCAAAATTGAATGTATGTGCCATATAAGGCAATGTGTGGGAGACACATTTGTTACATACTGAGTGTCTGAGCAAAAGCATGTGTCATGTTTCCTTAGGTTCTCAATAGGAGATGCGTAGAAGCGGCAGTGATGACAGGCCTGGCACTCAACTGCAGCATAAACAAGAAGTCCTTGTTTGACAGAAAACACTATTTCTATGCAGATCTGCCTGTAAGTATGCCGTATAGCATAGCTGGTCCCTTTATGGCTGTAGGAAAGGAAGAGTCTGGAGTATGGATGGCAGTAGTGGATGAGTGAAGAGATGCTTTTTCTGTTTTCAGTCAGTGTTCTGCTCACCCCAACAGGATGCTGCGCTGTGCCCTGATGAATAGACAGCTGTACCCTGGGGCTCACTGATTGAATATGATTGCTCTGATTGCTGACTCCTTGCTTAGCTGCATGATTCCAGTAGCTTAATGTAATTGAATTGGGAGCTGGAGCTGCTTTGCCCCTTAAGTTCTCCATTCCTGGTGTTTAGTACTAATTATCTGTTAGGGTAAAAGCAGTCTGACAATAGTCCTTCATTTAAAGTGAGTGTATAACAAACACAGGTTCCAGTGGTATAAACATAATAGTGTCTTTTTTGTGTGTGCTTAGGGACCTGAAAATATTTAATTTCCCTTTAAAACTTTCTCAGTCAGTAGTTCCAATAAATAAAAAAAAAAAAAAAACTGAGAAACAGAGTCTTTGCAGTAGGGTTTGTTGGTAGCTTTCATATTTGGTAGAAGGTGTCACTGGAAGTCAAATACATTGTGCCGCACTTGGTGTAGGTATAAAAATACTAAAATCATTTAAGAACCTGACTTCTGTCATTGCAACAGGATGCAGCTGTATTTGAGCCTTTTTTCTATTTTAATAAAATTAAACCTTTCTGACTTTAAACTTTTTTTTTTTCCTGTCAACTTATTTGTACTGAATGTTCAGTTTAACACTAACCTGTCAAAGGGAGGACGCTAGTTTTACTTCCTCTGATTTTGCGGTGAAGACCCGATGACTGCATTAACAGAATAAAATCTATTTCTATTTCATCTGAGATCATCAGGCATGTTAGCTTATCCTCTCTTTAGGTGAGGTGTCCTGGACATCCAGAGTGGGAGATTTGTCAGATTCCAAATTAATGTCTAGAAGTGCTGTATTATTAACCAAACTACTTTCTTTCACATTCTTTTGTTCACATATTGGAAATATTTTGAAGTTACACAAAATATATGCAAATACTATTGCTGCCCACCTTTGAAAGAGAATTATGTTATATTTGTCCACTGGAGACCTGGATCTCAGAAGATATTTCTGTTTTGTTTTCTTCTAAGTTGGGAACTTGTAACTGTTATGCGAAGTCAATGCAATTACTGATTTGGTTTTGGGGGATAACATGGCTAATATTTGTAAGCCATCAAGGGGATCTTTTGCTGGGGGCTCTGTAGTGAGCTACTGGGGATGTGAAATGCAAACTTACCAGTTTGAATTACCAATACTTTTTTTTTTTTTTACTTTAAAGCCCATTTCCAGACCTGAAGGAGAAAAAAGTGAAATAGCAGAAAATAAACATGGCTTTCAAAATTCCTTTACACATGATAAAGAAACACCAAAACCACCACAGACTTCTTTGCAAGCCACCTTTGGTGCTTCTGCTGTTAAACTGAAAACAATCTCTCGTATTCTTGTGATTGCTGCTGCTATCAGTCTACTGCGTAGAAGCTATATGGAAGAATGTTGTCATAGGAAAGAAACCACATCCATGTGTTTAGAGGATAAGAGTGAGGTGGAAGAAGGTGTGTACAGCACCAAGTAGACTGCTGTTGTCCGCAGACATGAATTACAGGATTCTCTGGTCAGATAAGCATGGAAATTTGGTCAAGGAGATGCTGACACATTTTATTAGCTTGAAACATCTAATTCTGGCTTTCTCCTGGCTGACTTCTGCAGTTTAAGCACTGGCAATAAACTACCCGACCTGCATTTCATTGTGAAAGAGTCTGGTCAGAACCCTGTAATAAGATGCAGAGTTTAGGCTAATGAGCTGTATAGAACAGATAAAATAAATCCAGCTTTTAGGGTCATTTGACAATGGGATTATTGTTACTCGTGAAAATGGAGCTTTGGATGAGAAATAGGATTCTTGTTATTTATTGTCACTTACTATTTCAGGCTTTAAAAAAATCATTTTAATGAGAAGTTTTAGGAGATGGGAAGAGCTGTATGATTAGCATAGGCTACATAGAGTCAGTTATTTTATTTTTCTTACAGTGATTATGGCTAGAAGTCATGCACTTCATTGCATATCTAAATTGAGCTGTTCACAAGGCCAGACCATTGTTCTGCGTTCCAATGCACTGTCACCATCTTTACATTTTCGACTGCACTCGTCCTCCCTGCAAAAATGCATGTGCAAATGCTTCTCTCAATTCATTAAAATCTGGCAGGCTTTTTTTTAATTCTCACCACTCACATTCGGCAGCCCCCTTCCCTCTCCCTCTCCTCCCTGCTAGTGAGTAAAGTTCTCAACGGGCAGAGAGGGATATTCAGCCTGATGGGAGGATGAGTGATAGTCTCAGGTGGGGGATGGAGGTATGGTAACTGGCTTCAGACAAGATTTAACATGATCATGGAACCACAGGCGTGGAAGAGCCTCTTCTAGTCCATTTCCTGCCCCAAGGCAGTATCAGTGAAATTTATGTCATCCGTGGCAAGTGGTTGTGCAGTTGATTATTGATTGTTTCTGCACTAGTCTAGTATCTTATACTTGCCTGTATTGAGGAGTGCTCTTATTTTTTCCAGACCTCCAGCTTCACACAGTTACGTCAAATTCTAGACTCGTCTTCTAGCTTGCTTCTTGTCCAGCTAAGCAAAATAACTTCTGAATTTACATTCAGGTGTTCTACCCTCGTATATAGGTCACTATGGGAGATGTGGCATTTCCAATTTTGTTCCTAATCTATAATGCTCGCACTTGACCATGTTGCTGCTTTCTGAAAAGTGAATGTTTTATTTGAGTATAAAGCTAATTTTGTTGACAGGCTGGCTATCAAATCACTCAGCAAAGAGTTCCTATTGCGGTGAATGGAAGTCTGTCATACAGTCTCTGCGTAGACAACAAAATGAGCCAGATAGTGACCAAAACTGTGAGGATTAAACAAATTCAGTTGGAGCAAGACAGTGGAAAGAGTCTCCATGATGACACAGGGAGCCAGACTCTCGTTGACTTGAATAGGGCTGGTAAGCTTGGATTATTTTCCTATTTTTCTCTTCCTTTCTGTATAAGATGAGTCTTTAAAGGTAAGTGGGTGACAGGGAACAGGAGAAAACTGAAACCAGCCTACTGTCTCTCTCCTTGAAAATAAAAATCATCAAAATTACCAAGACACTTGAATAGAGGAATACTTGGATTTTTTAATGGCCGGTGGATGTATCCCATTGCTGTTGGTTGATGGCAATTGACAATAGCAAGTTAGAAATCTGTTGGCTGCAGTTTGCTCAAAAATATATATGTCAGTCACAGAGAAGTCGCTTAGCTATGTAAGCTCTTGCCACTGTATGCCTCGTTGTTAAAACTAAAAAAAAAATAAAAAATCCCAGACCTAGTGAAACAAGTTTGTGTATGCAAGGAGCAGCTGTTGGAATTTGTCAGTGCATGAGTCAGGCATTTCTTTTAGTCATTAGCTTTGAAAAAATGTAGATTTTTCTCTTTAAACTTTGAAATTGTAAACAGAATGAACCACATTAGCACACCACATGGGCAGCAACCTGGATGGCCTAGCCTGACTGGGACACAGTGCTCCAGTGTCCATTGAAGTTAAGGGCTGTGGCTGCTCATATTCTTTGAAAGCTGGATCCTGAAGCTAAAAACTAGACTGCATCTGTTTACAGTTCTGGCTGTTCCGAAATTAGTTTAAAATGAATAAATTTGAATCTGGAATCGAATTGGCTTTAAATGGGAGTTCTTCTGAAGAAAGGTGGAAGAGGAATGTGAGTGTGTCCTTCTGATCTGCGTGCCATCAAAGGGTGGAGGATTGTCTGCAGTTTATCTGTTCCTTAAAAAGAAAATAGAAGGAAAAGTTTTTACAGCAATCTGCAGCTAGGCCCATAGTGACAGTTACTAAATAATACATGGGGGTTTATTTTTTTCAAAAAAAGCCCAAGTGCTTTCATGTGTTTAGCCAGTTGCACTCTGATATGCTGAGATCAAAAGCTATTGTTGAAAATCTCCTGTCTCTTTCC